GGCAAAGTATTTATGGGTGTAACTATAGCGCGCAGCGTTATCCGAGGGCCGAAGGCCGGATCCGGGGTATGTTGGGTATGGGAGGGGAGTCCTCTACTCCCAAAATGAGTTTTTTATTTTAAAAAATTGAGACTTCTAGATTGCTTAACTTCTTCATTGGCTGGGATGGGAAAACTAGGCCTATGTTTTATTTATTTATTTATTTTTTTGGTCCGACTGCCCGACGAGCTTTGGCCGATGGGTGGGGAGGGGGCTTGACAAGATCGATGGAGAAATTACCAGACCGATGGGGGATTAATCCCTCTGTCTCACCCCACCCGATGGCGCCGCCACTGCCTATAGGCCTACATCCGTAAATTATAACTGGAGTATTGTGACTGACTGCAGTAAATGGACCAGAGATTTTTTTCGTGGGTTGGGTAGGGGGGGGGGATCGGCCCAGCACGATCAAGACGCGGCTGTTTTTGTCCAACTTCTCGTAACAGTCGTAAGAATCGTATGAATCGTAAGAAACCCTGAACTTTACGTCGACAGGAAACCAGGCTTTATGTAAACACGGATCACGCCCATACAAAATCGTTATGGGTTATCTCCTACCTTTACCTTATAAATATCACGAAGAGAAACTTTCTAGGGCATTCCCTGCCTCTTCATAAATAAACCATTGCAGCTATACTTGGTGAACCAGTTTGAGGCCCATACTCCTTATCATATTTTGATTGTAAATCTACAGCCATGCCACTGTGCTTCCACTAAAATGTTAACCGTTATACTAGTGATGGCACAATACAATACTTATCAATACATAGCAAAAACTTACTGTTCGGTTTCATCCACATAATCATCAACATGTACAAAGATTGTAGCCAAGACAATAACTGCAGGTCCACCTAAAATTTAAAAATAATCCGTATTTGCTGTTAACCTAAATTTATCTCAAGGAGCTCAAAAGTATAAAATAACTAAGATAAACAATTACAAATTTTTGTAATCTTAACATTAATTTGCATCATCAAAACTTTTTACATATCACATTATAAATGTAAATGTATCATTTTTATTGTTGTTGTCATTATTATTATTATTATTATAATCAAAATCAACTAGCTAATTCAACTTACCCCATGCATACAGGCTAGCTTTCGCAAGAAAATTTGATACATGAGCATTGTATATTTTTACAAATAAATAATACATTATGAGGGCCTGGACACCCATCCAGAAAATGGAAGACAACAGGAAGTAGTGTAACAAAGCTCCCACAGCGGTGCATCCATTTCTGTTGGCCGTTCGGTCAATTCCAACGATAAATACAATATAAAGACCAAGCAAAGATCCACACAGATTGCAGAGGATTTTTTTCGGCTCGCTTTTTCTCAATTTTCTAGGAGAAAGCATAAAAATAAAAGTTTAAGCTGATGAAACCATTGTATTTCAGAAAAACATAGATTTGTATCTCTAATAGGCTTACTTTTGCTAATATTTTTGTCCACTTTATGTTAAATATGAGCAATTAATAATTTAAAAAAAATTTACGAAGTGAAATCAAGTTAAAAATAATTATAATCTTTCAGGGAACAGTGAAATTTCACTCTTTTTTTTTATCTTTAACAAGTTATTCTGGCATTCTATGTTTTATATTTCATCTATCAAGTTTTTGCTTTCTTCGCAGCATTGGCGTCAGCATTTTCACGACAGGTCATCCATCATTCTCCGACAAATGTACCACACCCACCTCATCCTAACCATTTTTGGGGCTAGAGTGTGTAAAGTAATAGGTTATGGCACCTTCAACTAGATTCGTGTTATAGATTAACCTCTTGGGTTTTGAATTTATTTTATCATTCTTTATTCCCAAACTGCACTCACCGTACTATTTTCCATTTAGTATCTTATAATTTAACTATTTTCTTTGGAAGAATGCTTGATCAATTCTATTTATGTTATACCTTTACATATTATTATTATTGTGTTAATTGGTTATTAAATGTAATTAACATTATATTTTTTGTATGTAGGGTAAAAATATGATCTGAATGTCAACTGGAACTACTTACCTGTTTGCTACAAATGTCAGTAATGTCACGCTAAGCCCTACAATGGAAAGGCTTAAACCAACCGTGGTGATGACCTCACTGATAGCATCAGGTTGCTGGGGATAGAAATTCTGCAAAAGAGAAGATTTTCAGAACCGGTTTACTTCAGAGGCAGTGCCAGAGATTCCACAAGAAGGTGCCTACAAAGTCTTAAGCACCAACATGTTTGGAGTATAGTTTGATGTTCGACGAAGAATGCTTTTAAAGCCTGCTGAAGAATTAATTGGCTTCTTTTTGCTCCGTGACCTCTCTACCACCAACCTTCATAATCGACCATCAATAACTATTTTGTGGGACTTACCATAAGAACTGCAAAATTTGTGAGATGACTGCAATTACAGAACTGTCTGTCACTACCATCTGCTGATCCACTAACTAAACTGCACCCCTCACTTGACCAACCTCCGACCTTACCCAACTTAAAGTCCCAAAAAACACATTCTGTTTCTTTGTTTTCCTCAGTTATCTAAAGAAGCACAATGTTATGCAAATCACTTTGATTAGGTTATATTGAGAATGATAGACTTATTATCTAATTACGATAAAAATTAACCAAAATAGCATTAATAAGAATACAAAAGTAATAATAAATAACCTATCGTAACTAAAAATGCTTCTTTTACTCTGTGTAGTAAAAGCATAGCCTCCCCACGGTGTGATTTTTCTCTGAAAATTGATAAGTAGGAGTTTGAAACCGATCAGAATTACCAAACTTTGGTTATCGTGGTAACAAATAATTTACTACGATGACAACAACATGAACAAATGTTACAATTTCTCCTAAATTAAAAATTTTCTGTGGGAATGTGGGAATTATGATAGTATTTAGTGTAAATTTTCTGATTAGTGAAATATTCATTTTGCAAATTAACAATTATCATATTCACAAACATACCAAAAAACAATAGGGTCCGTCTTCCTATTAACATCTTGCATTCTGCCAAGTTTGAAACCAATCGGACTTACCAAGCTTTAGTTATCGAGGTAAGTAATCTAAATTAACTGCTTAGTGAAATATTAATTATGCAAATGAGCAATTAGCATATTCACACATGTACCAAAAAGAATATGCTCCATCTTCTTATTACCACCTAGCATTCTGCCAAGTTTGAAATTAATCAGATATACCAAAATTTAGGTATCGTGGTAACTAGCCAAAAAATTACCTGATATTGAAATAGTTATGCAAATGAGCAATTAGCATATTCACACATGTACCAAAATAATATGTTCCATTTTCTTATTACCATCTTGCATTGTGCAAAATTTGAAACCAATTGGACATACCAAACTGGTTATCGTGGTAAAAAGTCTAAACTACAGGTGATTAGTGAAATATTAATTATGAAAATAAGCAATTAGCATATTCACACACATACCAAAAAGTATAGGATCCCTCTTTTTTATTACCATATTGCATTTTGCCAAGCTTGAAGTCAATTAAACTTACCAAACTTTAGTTATCGTGGTAACAAACAAATGACCAACAACGACAATGACGACGACAATGACAACATTAAAGAACATATGTGAAAACAATAGCCTACCTGGAGCTTCGCTCCTTTGCGGAGACTAATAAATTATATCAAAATTAAGTACTTTAATGAAAAACAATAATGAATAATTATAATAATAATACAGTATGATAATATCAATGATGGAAAAACTATATCACTAATACTATTATTAGCAATATCAATAATAAATCAAAAATATATCGGCAACAACAATATCATTAATAAATTTACTCATAACGCAAACAGAAAATCATTCTTCAAAACAGTTAAATATTCAATTTTTAAACATTAATCAGCTTAATAGTTATCAATCAATAACAGTAAAAATCCATTGTAATAATGAATGATAATGATAATAATTTATTTACTTTCATCTCCAGCCAAACAAGCACCGCCCCTTAAATATTTGTTTTAAGGTCCCACAAAATGACAACATAAACATATGTAAACGTGGCGTTTGTGGGATAATCTGGAGTTATTCCTAGCCCTGTTTTGATTGGTCACTCGTTAAATTTGATTGACACTCTGGAAAAATCAATTTACCTTCTTTACATATCACCAAAAACATGGAGTGAAAAGTCATACCTCAGATGGAATAAATGTGGCTGTAAGCGGTTCCGTTAAGTTAACAGTTTTTAAATCCGGTACTGAGAATGATATAACCGGACCATTGGGTCTTCGCCTTGAACGATCAAACTGAGGCGACTGGAACAACCTGCTGCTTTCATAAGCAATAACAGACACTCGGAAACTATCATTTCCTACATAAACACAAATAATCAAGAATATAAATATAGTAATTCATTATGCTACAATTCTAATGACACAAAATGTTGACTGTAGGAAAATATGAATAATGTTAACATGAATACATCCAATAAATGAGCAATAACTACATGAACTACATTTGAACATTCACTAGGACAAGTAAGGTGATCCTCTTATCCAGCAAAACAAAGCAAAGCAGAAAAAAAAAATTGTAGCCCACCTAGTTCCGAACTGGGAACCACAGGCACGTTAGAAAAAACATTTTACCACTGGACTTAAGTACCGCCTTATAGACATTCAACGTAAGCTGAAAAGGAAGCGTCGGTATAGTCACAATTTCAACTTTCAATAAAAAAATTTAGGAAAATTTTGAAATGCTCAAAATGGCCTGAAACGTGCTTTAAAATTATTTTAAAAAGTAATTTTAAGAATTTTGAAATGTTAACGCACAAGTACGCGCAGACAGTTGACCCCTGATATGAAGTACTGTATACTTCTATCTGTTAGGGTTGTACATAGAGATAAAGGGAGCTTTGGATTGCACGACGACGGTAGGAACGTAATAACGTAAAGTCATCTGTACATGTTAGAACGCTAAGGCCACCTCGTCGAGTAGATTATGGAACGCAATTTGGTCAAATCTACGTATGCAGAGGACGCCAGGTAGGACGGTCACGCATGAGTGATTACGTTCTACCGAAGTTAGAAAAACATTCAATTTGACCATGATGACGTCATCAAAGTGAAAAATGATTGAAACATTTTGAATGGAAATTGTCTCGGCTATAACACACTCGAAGGTAGGAGACGATTGATAAAAAAAAGCGAGATACATTCAAATAGGTATTAAAATAATGACGTCATAAACAAATTCGAAAAATTAAGGTATGTGACATTCCACCTTGACCTGAAGTTTATGCCCACTAAATATGATTCAAAAATGACAAATGGTTATATGGGGTCATCAAAGTTTTGAGGTAAAAAAATGAGGGTGGTCGAAAAACATTTATTTTGACCATGATGACGTCATCAAAAAGTAAAAAGAAGTCACATATATGAACGACAAGGATAAGCGAGATACGCTCAAATGCGTATTTTCAAAATGACATTATACTGTAGATAAAATTAAGTTTTTTGAATTCAGATGGCAATATGAAGACTTCACAATGTCCGATCAGCCATTATGATCTATAAAATCATACTTACAACTCATGTTCAGAATATGTAATAAAAATTGGGGGTCACCTTTCACCCTATGGAGGTATAGCTGATTAAAAATAGGCCTGATTTTAGCATATTTTCACTGTTTATCGGCACAAACGCGCGCAAAGATCACTGTTTAATGCGCGCGTACGGCATTGTTATTGGCCATAAGATGATTGCAAGAATAAAAATTTGTAAAAACAATTTCAGGAACCCAAAATATTTAAAGAAAACGTAATTTCTAGCTTCCGTATGTGCCGTGCACGTAAAAATGCGCGCACGTAGTGGTAAATGTCAAAACATTTTGAAATGCTTAAAATGGCTCTGACCCCGGTATTCTTAAAACGAACTTTAGTCGTAGTTCGTGCTAAACATTATGTCATTTCGTATTCTTAAAACGAACTTCGACTAGCACTGCGACTAAATGATCCGAACCTCGACTAAAATGATACCTCCGCGGGCCGATTTTTTTAGTCAGCCTAGGGTCAGGCTAAATCGCCGACTTGAAATATTTACACCACTAAAAACGTGTTTTCTGTAACTCACGATAAAGTGAAACGAATAAAAACGATTGTATTTTATATTTTCAGTGTGTTAAACAAAAGAGACATCAAGTTTAGCTTCCAAAAGGAGAAATTAACATGATTCTTCCAGCCACATGCGATAGTTCCTGATTTGCAGGAAATCCCCATGCCATTAACAACAACAAAGATGGCGCCGCCCTCGCTCGGGCTTAACTATAACAGTTCTCCAAAGAAAGCAAATTTTCAGTGACTGTTCAAATTCTCTATTGTAATATGTTAACAACTAATATAGTTAATATTATAGAAAATTAATTAAGCAAATGATGATCTATTATGAATTATGAGGAAATACGTTTTTGAACCACAGACGGCAGCTTAATATTCATCCGCATTACCGGATCTCTAAAATTTCGTTGCTTTTAAAATTAGCTCTTTTCATTGGTAAGTTTGATAGTTGTTGCAGTTGAACTAAACCTAGGACTTGATTTAGTCGTAGTTCAAACTTCGACTACATTGTTTGTGAATACAAATTAAAGTTGAAGATGCAACTAGCACTAAATGAAGTTCTAGATCGAAGTTCGACTAAAGTTTGTTTTAAGAATACGGGCGTGAAACGTGCTCTAATTTAGTTAAAAAGTGATTTTGAACATTTTGAAAAGTAGACTCGCGCGTGCGCGTGCGTTAGGATGCGCACACCAAATATTTCGATATGTGATATTCAACCCTGACCTGAGGTTTATGCCCAATGACCTAGCAATAGATCATGGCAATTTTGAGATAACAAGAAAAAAGAAAAATGATTCCGACAATTACAAGAGGTGATCTTCTCACAGGATGCAGATCACCTAATGAAGGAAAACTGTAACTTAGGAGTGCTTTTATTTGCACATGTTAAAACAACAGTCTTATTTTTTTGTCATTTTTCAATTTGTTAGTATACAAAGTGCTATTTGTCACGAAAGACAAGGATCCTGCGAACTTAATCTCTTTATAAATATAGCAATTTATTTCAGAAACTGAGACAAGCAGACAAACAAGATGTTCTACAGTCTCATTATAAGGCTGAGGGCGTGCAGTCAGAACAAATCAGTACCCTGGCATTTGAAGGCAAGCATCTTAACCACCACCAAAATACATATCCACTCAATGAGATAATATTATGTTAGTGAAGTGTCATTTGTTTTTAATTTTAAAATATATTTAAAAAACATAATATATTTAACCTTTTTCGTCCATAATTGTGGTTGAAATGCTTGCAGGTAGAGCAATGGAGACCTGGATATCATTAGGTATAGAATCCCCTTGTATGGCTGTGACATCCTCCAGCCCAAATGCACCATCAGCCGAACCAAACTTTAATCCAGCATTGCTCATCACATCTCCAACAGTTAACATCTGTCCAAGTACAGCAACGTTAGGCATACTTTCTTTATAGACATTATTTTTAAGCTCAACTTGGCCAAGTTGTTCTTCTAGAGATGAAATTATACTAGTGGGAGCTTGGTTCCTTATCTGACTTTCCATTATAATATCTTCATCAATACTAAATAAATTGTTAACTGTACCAACCATCGAATATGTTACCTTAATGAAATGAAAAATTATTTTAATTGAAATAAGGATAAAAAGCAAATAAACAAGGGTCAGTCAGGTATTTTTTAAAGGAAATACCTAAAAGGATGTAATGGTTTCAGAAGGATAACTAAAGGGTCGGCTCGTCCCTACATCCCAAGGAAATTAGCTACTCCCCCTCCCCTCGCGATCCTATCGTGCAACAGCATAATTGTGCAAAATACAAAGAGCATTAATATGCTTATCCAAATAACGTTATTTTGATAGTCAATCCTAAATATTGTGTTTTAAAATTTAAAAAAGTCCCCCATCAACTCTACCATCAACCCTATTCCGAAAACCCTGACCGAGGTGCTAGTCGGTTCTTTGGTTTGGACCTCCATGTCGAAATTGTGGCACCCCTGTCGGTAAATGTCTGGAGCCACCACTGCTAAACACATTTCTGATTATCTTGTGGTGAAATATCCCTGAATTCCTCAATGTTAACTTGCCATTTCAGTAGAAAATGTAAAAAGTCCAGATACATTCAAGGGACTTACAATTGAACGAAAACACCATATGAAATCAAAGCCTAAATACTCAGTAATATGTTATTATATTATAAACTATGAGGCTTATGTAATGGAAATTTTTCTTGTGTCAAAATTCCTGGTAACTTCACAGAATTTTAACCCAGAACCATAGGATGAAATGCTTCTTTCTTCGAGTAAAAGCAGACATACTTTATTCCTATCTTTAAAAAATAATGATTTAATCTATTATAATTACAAACTAAACTTAAACTAACCATGGTAGATTTTGTTTTTATGGAGACTACATCCTGCAAAATTTCTGCTGTTTTTCCAAGTGCGCCATCAGTGATCTCGTCTGTTTTTTGTGTGATCTCAAACACCTCTATACTGACATCTAATACATTGTCCACTGTAACTTTCATCTATTAATGCAATCAACATTAGTAGTACAATGGAAAATAAACTTATTTCCATTAAAGTTCAACATCAAGATAAAATCAATCGAAAAATCAAAAGAAAAACACCAAACACTGAAGCTACAAAAACTACGACTATGGAGGAGATATATTATTTTCAAATTAAATTAATCTATCAATAAATCAGGGACTGGACCACCCCCCCCCCCTAGACTTAAATCGACCTATTAGTTATGAGACTTCCCAAATAATAACATCATTCTTGAATTGAATATGAATCCGGACACCTCTAAGGTGTTATATCTAAATTCAATTGCAAACCAAAAACAAATCTAATATTAACAATATGTATTGTTCAATTCTTTTATGTTCTGTGGTTTGTGTTGCACAGAAATACAGCTCATATTGTATCTTACTGTACAATGCAAACATAAAAAAGTAATTAATTATATGATTAAGATAATACTTTGCAGATAAATTTGTTGGATTCTCTTTATGTGTATACTATACTAAAAATGTGTTTTATTGTTGAGATATTATGTATTGAGGTTTCTCTCTTGAGAAAACGATACTGTACAAGTTTGATGATTACAATATTCTATGGGTGTTCTCGTTTGAAACATAGTAGACATATTTTCAGTTGGTTTTTCCAGGCACTTACATCAATTATCCTTGCAAGGCGGTCTTCGGCAGTTTCTTCTGCAGCACAATCTGAGATCCCAGAATTTCCTTCGCATGAATCTAAAATGCACAAAATGATGGTGTAAATTTCTGTAAACATCACTTAGGTCGAATATAATATTGTTTGTGATAAACCATTTGACACAGACAATAACATTCAATGGACACAAACAGATAATTTATTCATTATCAAACCTTTGTTGTTCTTGTCTTATTATGGTTTTCTTCCAAACCAAACAAAATCTAACTTTAAAGAAATGACCTTAGTTTCATTCCAACATTCTATTAATTTTTAAGTTTTACATTGAATCTTTTTTTGACTTCTTTTTTTTTGTATTATCTTCTTTCTATTTCATGGTTTGTTTGTAACTGTACCACTTTGAAAAACGGTACTCAAGTACTGAAAGTGCATGCAGTCTAAAGAAAGAATAAATAAATAAATAAATAAATTAGAATTTTGTATAATAACTAAAACTATTTCACTTTCGTAATTCACAAGCTTCACAATGTGTCCCGACGTAGCATTGCAGACAAGTACATGTATAAGCTGTACAGAAACCAGAAACCTGGACACAACTACCTCCATTCAGACAGGGAGTGTTGGAACACGCATTCACTACTACTGTAATTTTATGAAATCAGATACACAGTATTTACTAAACAAAATATAGAATCTGCAAGTTTTACAAAATTACCCCGGTATACACAACTACAATGTTGTACAGAAAGTAGAAAACTCTATTAATTTTTGGAATAAGTATTCTATTAACTTCTTTTAACAATACCATGGAAACAGTGTCTAAAACTACATTCAATTTGTAACTTACAAGTTTCACAGCATTTAACACTGAAATTAAATATCACTTTATCAATCAATCAATCAATTATTCAGTCAGTCAATCAGACAATTAATCAGTCAATCAATTAATCAATCAATCAAATCAATCAGTCAGCCAGTCAGTCAATCAGTCAACACTAAAATATTTAATGAAATAAATATATCCAGAATAGAATTATAGTTAGTTTTGCATTCATGACTTTCGATGGAACAATATTAAATGACCATATATTGGAATTATAAAAGTGTAGAAACTTGTAATTCAATACTTAAACTACGTTTGTAACTTACAAGTTTCACAGAATTGCCCAGTGTAGCAACTAGGACAAGTACATGTGTAAGCTGTACAGGAACCAGCAACCTGAGAACAAGCAGCTCCATTCTGACACGCATTGTTGTTACAAGCATTCAATACTAAAATATGTAATGAAATAGAAATATCCAGAATAGAATAATGGTTAGTGGTGCATTCATGACTTTCGACAGAACAACTTTAAATGACCATACATTGCAGGGTAATGGAAGAAACGAACATACAATATTTAGTATAGAAGTGTAGAATCTTGTAAGTTGATCATTATTTAAAACTATGTTTGTAAACAAGTTTCACAATATTGTCCTGTAGAAGGAAGGACAAGTACATGTGTAGCTGTACAGGAATCAGAAAACTGGACACAAGCCTCCATTTTGGCAGGCTTTGTTGTTACAAGCAATCAATACTGAAATTATATAATAATCCATCTGTCAATCAATCAATCAATCAACTGATTTAAACTTTATTGCTGCAGATGAAAGCGCCACTCAGATAAGCACGATTGTTAAAAGCAACACAACCAACTACCTACTAGGCCCACATTGAGACAGTCACCAGTCCAAATAGTGATTATCGCCAACAACATTAATTATATTAAACCGATGTTTTCTTTTTTGTACTTTTTATTGATGTATTTTATTCTCTCATTAAAATATGAAACATTAACAATTAAAACATTAGTACTTTTTATTCTAAAATTGAATGTTGTTCTGATAATTAAGGGTTGAAACTAACTTCAAATGTAGCTCAAACATTCTAGTTAAATGAAAAAAAACTTCAAACTCATGGTATTTGTTATAATTTATACATTTATTGGCGTTCAATTTAGTGCATTTGGTATTAATATCTTATTATATTTTATTAAATGTCATCCAGTGCGCGTACGTGTGCGTTAAAGTTTTTAACATTCTAAATATCACCTTTTAGATGCAGTAATTTAAAGCACGTTTTAAGTCATTTTCAGCACACTTCTGGGTCAAGTCGGGCGGATCACTTAACTCGTCCTCAGTGACGAGTTCAAATCTAGTCTTCTTTTTCTTATTCTTCTTTCTTTCTCCCATTTCTGTTCGCACGATATCTCAAAATTGCCGCGAGTTACGCACATGCCAACTTCAATGAACATTTGGCTTCATCTGAAATAGTCATAACAAGCTTTTTAAGGTTGCCGGTAACGCGTGACTTCATCTACGCACAATTTTGATACTAGCTGTTCGTCGTAACGATACGAATTTTCTATTTATATGAACTATATAATCAGTGTGATAGCGTCGAATTACAGTCTGCCACCCTCTGTTGGTCTGTCCAATATATTATTTCTCAATAATTGAAGATGAAGAGGTCCAAAAATCATTAATTTTGACCATGATGACGTCATCAAGGACATGATTCCGAAAGAGAATTGTCTCAGCTATAACTTACTCGGAAGATGAGAAACGATTGACTAACAATAAGAAAGATACGCTTAAATAAATATTTTAATAAATGAGGAAATTAAAAGAAAAAGTGTTTTTTAATTCAGATGGCAAAATGATGACGTCACAATTTCCGATCAGCCATTATGATCTATAAAATCATATCTACAACTCATGTGCTTTCAGAATATGTAATAAAAAATGGGTGTTACCGATCATTCTAAGGAACTATAACTGATTGAAAATAGTATGATTTTGAGCACTTAAATTTTTGATGCGCATGTTGATGCGCGCACGGAAATTTGGGCGCATTATATTCATACTTGACTAGAAGTTTTATGCCAATTGAATATGATTTATAAATGTCAATTATTTATGATGATATAGGCGATTTTAATGATTTGAGGAAAGAAAGATGAATGGTCAGATAAAAAAATTATGTAAAAAATGATGACGTCATCAAAATGTGAAAAGTCGTGATATTTATGAAAGAGAATTGTCTCAGTTATAATCTTCCTGGAAGTTTGGAGAAAATCGATCAAGGATAAGGAAGATACGCTCAAATGCGCATATCTTAAAAATGACGTCATCGATAATATTCAGATTGTTGAATTCAGATGGCAATATGATGACGTCATAACGTCCGATCAGCCATTATGACCTATAAAATCATATTTACAACTTATGTGCTTTCAGAATATATAGTAAAAATTGGGGGTCACCAATCATCCTAAGGAGCTATAACCGATTGAAAATAGGCATGATTTTGGCCTATTTCCGCTCTAAGTCGACAAAAACGCGCACATGGATTCATATCTTTTATGCGCGCGTACAGCATTGCTATTGACCCTAAATGACCGAAAAAGATTGGAAATTTGTGAATACAGTGTCAGGAACATAAACATGTAAAAAAAAAACACGATAATTCCAGCTTCTATACGCGCGGGACGAAAAATTACGAAATGCTCAAAATGACCTAAAACATGCTCTAATTTTGTCAAAAAGTGATTTTAAGCATTTTTTAATTTTGACGCACGCGTACGCACGTACTTTCCTGTGTATGCGCGGACGGTAATGGTGCAGGAAGTTGACACTTGATGTGAAGTATACTTGTCAAGATTCATTGAAATGCCTGTTAGTAAAGAAGTTATGGTCAATGGCAGAATTTCACAAAATGGCGCGTAGATGACGTCACGTAACTGTGACGTCATCCACAAAGTCAGGTGCACAACTTCAGATGTAGATCCATATGCTACGTAAGTTGCAAAGATCAAGCATGTGCTGTTTTTGAGAAAATCGACCAACAAAAAAGGTGGGAAAGAATAAAAAAAGAAATAAATAAAGAAGAAAAATCCGAACGAAAACAAAGGTGATACGCTCACGGAAGCGTATCAACAATAAATAAATAAATAAAGAAGAAAAATCCGAACGAAAACAAAGGTGATACGCTCACGGAAGCGTATCATCAATTATAAATAATAAACTTAGGTAGATCACTGCATCAAGAGAATTAAATATCAATGTTATAATGTTGTACAATTCAAATAAATTAAACTATGCCTAGTCTTGAGTCATCTCTTAAGTCCCGAGTACAGACTCGTAGATCATGCCCCCTATGCAAACAGGGTGGTCGGCCTGACCAACACTTCCTGAGTGAGTGTCCCTTTCTGCCGGAATCTGATCGCAGATACATAATTAAATCTAGACAGGTTATCGCCGATGATGACAGTGATAAAAACATTGATTCAGTGCCAATTAACCAAATGCCTCCTGTCACCACCATGCGTGTCCAAGTACGCCAGTCCCCATACATTGACGTATTCCATGACCATCATACTGCACGTATCACTATTGACAGTGGTGCCACCGGCAACATGATTTCCCTTTCTGCAGCTACTACCTTAGGGGTAGTTATTAAGGAGTCTTCCCAGTCTGCACACCAGGCTGATCGCTCGTCCCCTCTTAAGGTAGTTGGGGAAACTTCTCTACAGTTTTCACGGAATGGGAAAAATTTGCTGTTTGAAGGCCTTGTCCTCGAGAAGCTAGATGTTGATGTGTTGGGCGGGACTCCCTTTATGGAGGTTAATGATGTGTCCATTCGCCCTTCTAAGCGTCAGGTTATCGTAGGCGATGACATCTACCATTATGGCTCCTCCAACACCCTTCAGATCTTACTGTGCATCGTGCGCAAGTCCTGCGTGCACCACCGGCCACATCAACTGTATGGCCAGGCGAGTACATCAAAGTAGCTTTACCGACTGATCTTGTTGCTTTTCCAGACTCTGACTTTGCGCTTGAACCCCATACACAACCAGGTGATGAGCTGAAAGCTTGGCCTGGTTTTGATGTTGTGTCCAGCGTAGCTGGCAGGGTTCGCATCCCTAACTTTACCAACCTTCCGCAGGTAGTCCGACGCCACGAACATTTGTGTCAAGTTAGACCTATCTATGTTCTTCCATCAGACAATAGCGTAAAAAAAACACAACCACAATCTAATGCCACCCCATCCGTGTCGCAGTCATTGCTTCCGCACTCTGACAAGGTTTTGTTAGACCCAAATGGCATTTTACCACCAGACGTTAGGTGTAAGTTTCAGTCTCTTAATCAAGAGTATGATAGCGTCTTTGATCCCATGATAAAAGGCTATAATAGTAATGTTGGTCCCTTCCAGGCTGTTGTTAACATGGGTCCTGTTCAACCCCACCCCCAAACGTAAAGGTCAGGTTCCCTAGTACACGCGCGACAAACTGGTTTAGCTACAAGACACGTTTGATGAGCTCGAACGTCTGGGTGTTTTTGTTCGCCCTGAGGATGTTAACATTAATGTGGAATATATTAACCCTTCTTTCTTAGTTAAGAAAGCTAGTGGTGGGTTTCGCCTTGTCACCGCATTTTCAGAGGTTGGACGGTACGCAAAACCCCAACCATATCTTATGCCAGATGTTAACTCTGTCTTGCGTCATATCGCTAAGTGGAAGCATATCATAACGACCGATCTCACAAAGGCATTTTATCAGATCCCTCTGTCCCGTGCGTCAATGAAGTACTGTGGCGTTGCCACTCCATTTAAAGGTGTCAGAGTTTATGCGCGTTGAGCTATGGGCATGTCAGGGTCCCAGACTGCCCTTGAGGAGCTTACCTGTCGAGTTCTGGGTGATTTACTCAAGGAAGGAGTTGTCGCCAAACTTGCTGATGATCTGTATTGTGGAGGCAACTCCCATGGAAGAACTGCTACACAATTGGCACCGCCTCCTGCAGGCCATGTATGAGTCCGGACTCAGCTTATCTGCAGCTAAAGCTGTCATATGTCCTAAGTCTACTTCCATCCTCGGATGGATATGGTCTCAAGGGACTATTCGCGCAAGTCCACATTGGGTGTCAACCTTAGTTTCGTGCGACCCTCCTAAAAACGTTAAGGGTCTTAGGTCCTTCATTGGTGCTTATAAGGTTCTGGCTCGAGTGATTCCTCAATGCGCTTCATTCCTTGCCCCACTGGATGATGCCGTTACTGGACGTCAATCACAAGATGTTTTGGTTTGGTCTACTCCCTTGCGCGAGGCCTTTAAAGTTGCTCAGTCTGCTCTTTCCTCAAACAGAACGATCGTCCTTCCCCATCCTGACGATCAGCTGTGGATAGTCACTGATGGCTCAGTTAAGAAGCATGGCCTAGGTGCTACCCTCTATGTTACTAACAATGACAAGCCACGACTGGCTGGGTTTTTTAGTGCTAAATTACGTGCCCGACAAGTAACTTGGTTACCCTGTGAGATAGAAGCACTAGCTATCGCCTTAGCATACTAAATACTTTAGCCCGTACATTGTCCAATCCAAGCACAATGCATGTGTTTTAACTGATAGTAAGCCGTGTGTGCAGGCTTTGGAGAAATTATGTCGTGGGTATTTCTCAGTTTCGCCGAGCTTCTCTACTTTTCTTTCCATTGCTAGTCGCTATCAGGGACGTAGCCAGGATTTTGAAAGGGGTTATGCGAATTACGTATGACCCCGGCGGGGTCAAGGGGCGAATCCCCCTGTGAAGTAGCGCACTCTGAACGTTCTTAGGACTGTTTGAGAGGATAAAGTGAAAATTGCAATAGACGCATTATAAATAAGCGCAAAATAATTATATAATAAATCAACAGTGGCAGATCCAGGAATTCGAAAGAGAGGTGAACCAGGGAGGGGCTGAGGTAAGAACATTTATGATTAGGGCATCTCTAGATGGCCGGAAATTACACTCTCGCACTTCAATTTGAATATACTC